GTTCCCTCAGTCCCCCGGGACTGTGGGATATGGGCCTCACCCCTGGAGGCAGGTCTGGAACTTTTATTCCAGGGTGGCTACCCCCGGTACCACCCGATCCGTACTCCCCCAGGAGGGCCCCCTTCCTGGGCCCCTACACCCCAGTCGTCCTTACCTGCCACCCAAATTCTACCCACAGCCAGTGTGTTATTTCCTAAATGTAGTATCGTTAGTGGAAGCTCAGACCAAGCCTCGAAAGAGGATCATTAATGATCGTTGGATGTTGTCCTTCAGTAGCATTTTAAATGAAACTGACAAAAGTTCAATTGAGGCCTTAAACTACTGTAAAACTACTGCAAAATTGATGTTAAAATCTCTGGAAAATCCAAGCTTTCGCCGATCTACGGCATCATCAGGGATAAGAAAAATATATTCTGCGTAAGGCTTATATACAGGTGTAAAGTACAAACGTGTGAAATTAAAAGCGAAAGAATGTGAGGGGGGGGGTAAAATGTATGAGATAAATAATAAGGTACAAATAGGAATAAAAAAGAATAAAAACGAATAATATGATATAATGGGCGAGTGTCAAAGTACAGAGTCTCTAGATATGCTAAAATAATTATTAGAATAAAAGGTCTGCGAATTCGCTGCATTCCTCTCGGGAGTTAAGGGCAAGTTTGTACTTTCGTATGTAAAACGCTTCGAACAGACGTAGATTTCCGGGGTCGTTTTCTAGTGCCTTTGTGGACTTTGTTTTAGCTCTTTGAAATATGTTTCTTCACGGAGGAGTTATCATTGTTCAGGTGTTGATTTTTTCTCTTACACGATCGTGGATAAAACGTGTTGTCCTCCCGATGTAATGCTGGTTGCAGTTGTGGCACGTGATTTGATAAACAGCGTTGCGTAGTAAGAACAATTTGGTGCGGCTGTTGTCCTTCGCGCATGTCCGTTCCGTGTTGTTGTTGCTGTCATCTGTATATAAGCCTAACGTGGAATATTCTTCTTATCCCTGATAATGCCATAGATCGACGAAAGCTTGGAGTTTCGAAAGATTTTAACATCAATTTTGTAGTAGTTTCACAGTAGTTTAAGGCCTCAATTGAACGTTTGTCAGTTTCACTTTCTGGATGCCTCAGCCTGGATTGCCGGGTACCTCAAGGCTCTTGTTTAGGACCCCTACTATTTATTATTTACCCATCTCAGTTGTTCGATGTTGTGGAAAAATACTTACCACATGTACATTGCTTTACTGACGACACTCAGCTTTATTTAAGCCTCAAGCCAGATGGCCAAGTCAGTCGAGATGTTGGATTGAGGACTTTGGAATGGTGTATTGCAGATTTTCGAAGCTGGAGGATTAATGAAAGACGCCTACTTAATGGTGACTAACCGAGGTGTTATTACCTTAATCACAAGGCATGCAGGATTGTATTATTCTTTGATTAACATTATATTAGAAAAAACTAGACGCTTTGCTGCGTGTACCCAGGCAGTCGTTATACTGAGAAGCACTAGCTATATTGCAATTGAGCTAAATGTTCTACATTGGAAGTCGTACGAAATTCAGTTAATGGAATCGATGTCCTCAAGCTATTCTGCCTTTCAAGTTGCATTTCTTGGAATCGATAAATAGCTTATTACTCGTTTGCTGGTCTTTAGGGCGTCAAATGGGTAAAGGTCTTTATATCAGCCTATAAACGTTTCAGTCTATTTTCCTTAGCCTTTGTCGTCGTTGTTGTTGTTGTTGTTGTTGTTATGCGTTTCTGAAGCAAGCGAGACATTTTGAATTTCAGAGTTATGGCGATGCGTGACATAGAGCTACGCGTTTGTCCAAAAACATATACTTATCTCGTGATTTTTCGCTCATTCAGAAGTTAAAGTATTAGGAAAAGTGCTTATGTAAATGCTTGTTTGTTCAGTACAGATAATCAGTCGCCTTGATTGCCAAAGTAAGTTCTAGATGTTTACCCTATCGACTTTGCAGGAGACGATTCACGACAAATCGTGCGAATCGAGTCGAATCGTTTACATTTTGACACCCCTGTTATTGCCGACCGCGAGTCGACCTCCGTTCAGACGATTCGACTTTGCAGGAGTCGATTCGAATCACGAAGTACCTCAGACGAATCGACTGTCAGTTTATTGTCACGTTTTATAATTAAGAAAGAGGAAGGTTCATGTATCATTATTTCACTGGGCTTGACTTCCGGTGGTGCGGATCGACTTCGTGCGAATCGAGTCGAATCATCAAGTACCTCAGACGAATCGACTCAGTTTGGGTGTATTGGACATGGATGCTGAAGATATTCTCAAAGCTGCCTTGGCAACTTCATATGGATTGGCTAATCAGACAGCAGCAGTAATGGCCTTGATCTCTACTGGGTACCAATAAAAAGCTTAAGATGACATGTCCTCATTAGAATTACATATACAGATAAATATGCAGATGTCATTACAAGCTTTTTTCAACAGACACATGCATTAATTTCACAACATATATTTTTCAGAATCCATCATTAGATCATAACATAGTTATAAGTTAATAAAGATGGTGAATTTTTAGCTCGGTAATGAAATGTGAATGTGAATTAATCAACATGACACGAGCGTGGGACAAAGAAAAAATTCTGAGTCACCGACAGGAATCGAACCCATGACCTCCCGAACACCGGGCGGGCGCTCTATCCACTGAGCTACGAGAACTCATGGAGAGCAAGGTCATTTGTCCCACGCTCGTGTCATGTTGATTAATTCACATTCACATAACATAGTTGTTTCCATTCAGGAGTAAAATAAACTTTAGCATTATCTAGTATGTTTAGAGGTGAAGCTTTCATTAAAAAAATTGGGAAATGGTACATTATTAGAAATTGGTGCAAGTAAATGGTACACAAGCTTAAATCACTGCATAAGTACAGAGTCAGAAACTGAAAAACATTATGCCATCTTGGAACTTTACAGACGTCACAATTGCAAAGACCAGAATTTGCATTTCTTGGTTTTAATTCCGCGGCTGAAAGTCTCGAATTGATTTTGGAAGAATTGTATAAAGCCTTTCTGGCCGCGTGGGACTCCAGAGGCATTTCATAATTCTGGATTCATGCCTCGCTGTGGATTTCCGTTCGATTCCTTTGTGTTACCCGCGTGTGTTGTGTTTCCTCCGTCTTCTTCCCTCTCTTGTGGCTAACTGGGTTGCGAGACCTCTGACACAAGTCCTTCAACCCTGAAAGTTGCTGACAATTTCAACAAATTTTCCTAGGTAGACCGTCACTTTCACAAACACTAGGACCTGTTACCTTCACGATAATACTCAAAAGGTTGTCGCTCGCAGATTTAGCTCCAAACAAATCAATCAGATTGCTGACGAAGCTGAAATGAGAGCACCTACGAACGTGTTGTTGTTGATTTAGAGATCGAGGCAAAGACTTTCCCAGTGTTTTATACGCTATGTTCGCGCTCGAAGCGATCGTACCCAGAGTTAGCACATCCATCGCCCCCGGCTTAGAATTGGAAACCTGTGAAAAAAATTATTGTTTATCAACTTCCGGTGCAACTGCACACGCTCTGCTTTTGGTCAATGAAATGTCGAGCTCAAACCCTGTATTCAAGAGGTCTTCGTTTTACCGTTCCGCTGGACAAGGGTAACGAAGGCTCTGGGAACGAAATTGGAAAGAACTCATAAGAAACACATAGAGAGAGGGATCGGAAGTGCATAACACAACAATATTTATATGCTGGGAAAGACGGGCTTTTACCGCATCGCTTCTTCGTTATGAAGCTTTTCCTATGGTTAATCACTGCTTTGTACGAAGTCTTTGGAGACACAGGTAAGTATGATAATTTTGGGTCGTGAAGAGATTCGATATGGGGGTTGATATTTTCTGATATTTCACTTTCGTGTGGGCTGATCGATATTCAAATCTCTTAATGCGATATGCAATCGATTGTCAAATGCGGTCCAGTGAAGATGTGCTATTTTTTTTTTTTTTTTTTTTTCTAAATCTCTTAAAATCAGGCTTTGTGTCTTTGTGAATTTGAAATCGTTGAATTCCTGAAAAGTTTACATCGTGCCTGATTTCAAAGATTTGAAAGAAAGTGTCCAGCTGCGAGGTATATGATCAATGCGTCAAGGTGTCATGAGATGATTTCCTTATTTCTTTACTTTACGAATTGAAGCTTTTCCCGCATCGCCTCTTCGTTATGAAGCTTTTCCCATGGTTAATCACTGCTTTGTACGAAGTCTTTGGATACACAGGTAAGTATGATAATTTTGGGTCGTGAAGAGATTTGTTATGGGGGTTGATATATTCTGATAATTCATTTTCGTATTGGCTGATCGATATTCAAATCTCTTAATGCGATGTGTAATCGATTGTCAAATGCGGTCCAGTAAAGATTTGTTCGTTTTTTTGTTTTTGTTTTTTTGTTTTTTTTCTAAACCTCTTAAAATCGAGCTTTGTGTCTTTGTGAATTAGAAATCCTCGAAATCCTGAAAAGTTTAACTACATCGTGCCTGATTTCAAAGATTTCAAAGAAAGTTTCCAGCTGCGAGGTATATGATCAATGCGTCAAGACGTAGATGATTTCCTTATTTCTATCTATGTTTATTTTGGTGAACCACAGTAGTTATGGCTGGTAGACTTTACTGACCTCAAACGGAAGCCGTAAAACTGAAATGAATACAAAAATTACAGTAATGACTCGATGCGAATGTTTGTCGAACGACGCCACATAAAACACATAAAAAAAAAATTTGAAATAAAGTTCAATACAGAAACTTATTAAACTTAGGACATAAAAATATACACTTTGTTACCTTGTCCAGTCTTAGCACCGCGAATGGGACAAAAAAAGGCACGCTAAACGTGCGTAAATCCACTAAAACTTGAGTCAAAATCTTACGACCACGCTAGTCCAAAACACACTGGTCACGTGACCGAAATGGCGCGAAACGCAACCGCACGCGGACTGCCTACAGTCACATTTCGAAACAGTGGATCATTTCTTTTATCGCAGTTATACACTTGTTTCAAACTGTCCTGTTCATGTATGTTCATGTCTGTCAGGTCAGACGTGGGTGTTTGCTCAAAACTCAGAGGACGTTATTGAAAACTTTAAGTCTTAGATATAAGCTTAGTGAACTGTGATCTCTCTTCTTACAGGAAGTATTGATCATTAAGTTTCATTGCTTGTGAATGTTATCACATACCTTTATATATGGACTGTACTCATGCTTTTTTTTATTTTTATTTACTAATTCTTATTTTATTATTATTATTTTCATTATTGTTGTCCATGCATGTGAGCTGATTACCATATGTTTGACAACGATTCTTGCCAGAAACTTGAATCTTTTAATCTGATCTATTCTCTTATTGCAATCACCCTTTCTATACTAATTGATTTTTTGAACGACCAGAATTCTGTAAAGATTGCATGAAGAATTTACTTCAGTCAATCATTCTGGCCAAGAGAATAGACCCTTCCACGGTTTCTGACGCCATCTTGTTTGGGGCGCAAATATGGCAAAAATTACAGTAAATATTTGGGGCAAAAGGTGTATCTAATGTCTGATAACTCACGGAAAATCCTCACCACACAGCGAATCTATATTGTTCAAATTTGACCAAGAAGCTCTCTGTTTGGTATCTGTTCCTCGTAACTCATAAAACACTCAGAAAGTCAATCAATCTCAACTTACCGGGCATCAAACTTTTAAATTTCCCCACGCATTTACTGCAATGTTTGCTGCGTTTGCCACCCAAACAATATGGCGTCAGAAACCGTGGAAGGGTCTATTACAGTAAACAAAGTAACTTTGAAACATTTCCTGAAATGGAAAGCATCCCTTCCAAATAAAAGCAGGATTTCATGAGGATATACCTACCTCTACTTTAATATCCCTCCATACTATAAGGCATATCAAGCTTTGACATTCTTCCTTCCATCCACTTCGATTTGCCGCTAGAGCTCTGACAGTCCCCCAGGACCGCCACCCAGCTGTGTGCCTTTCTTCGTCATCCAGTCTCCACCATGTTGTTCTTGGCTAACCTAGTTTTCCCCTCCCCTCTGACCCTATTTGTAGGCTATAGGGTATCAAAACTAAGTCAGTAAACAAGAACGTTTGGTTGCTTTAGTAATGGGTGTTCCTCCTAATTGTAGTCTGTCAGCAGGCTCTTGGTGTCACACTCGTCTCGTCTCATTTGAATGTCTCTCGCCGCCTCACTGCTCAGGACTCTGGCGCAAACACGAGAGCCTGGTTCTGGCAAGCTATCCTGACTGGGGATTGGGCACTTGGCTAAATACCCAGTCCTAGAAAAAAAAAAAAAAGGAATTGTTTTATAGAAACTGGAAGTCATGCAAAATTGAATGGCCAGTTTTTTGAAGGGAAATGCTGGGATGTATATCTACATGGTTCATACTATCTTGAAAAGTGTCTTTTCTTTGGTAGTCGTCTTGAAATGTCCTTGACATAAGAAATTTAATTAGTAAACTTCAAGGACTTAACCAAAGTTAATGTCCTCTGAAAGTACTTGATTTCTTTCAAATTAGGTCTTGAAAAGTCGTTGAAGTTCGCTAGTTAAATTCCTAATGCCAAATCACTTTTCTGAGAAATCAAATGATTATGCTAAGGAACGTTGGGTGATAATGATGGGACGTTTCTGTATACATGTATATTTCAAATGAGTGTGAGTTCATCCCTGTACCTCAGACATGAAAGTACAAATGTTCCAGCCAGCACCTGTGGTCATTTTACAAAAATGTTGATCATTATAGATACTAATTTAACCTTGGCAGGGGAAAAATGGGACGAAGAATGTCAATTTATTCATCATGTATAAAGCTTAGTCCCTGAAAATTATTTTTTGTCTTTGGAAAGTCCTTGAATTTTATCTCTGTGAAGTTGTACAAACCAATAAATAATTGTGCGGTATCTTTTGCACCAGCTGGAGGAGACAAAATAAAGCATGCAAGTAAAGAAACTGATCAAAATCAAGACCTTTACAAGTATTTATATGATTGATTATTATAATTGTGGTGATAGGACTGAGCAGAGCCCAATTCAGTCTGTAGTCTGATACTTAAGTGATTAGCAAAATTGGACGATCAGATAGTGGGGGTTCTACTTGTTAATCATGAGTATATTGTGCAATTAGTCTGTGCCTGACAAATGTTATTGGTTATGTGTACTTTCGGTGGGGTGTGAAAAAAACATGCAAAGTGTTTCTAGACAATTTATCTGCTTTCAATATTACCCCTTTTCCTCTTCAGAAATTCTTGTCAATGAGCCTCGATCCGGTTCTGTACTATGGAACTGGGAAATCAAAATAGACTCACAAGGTGCAGGGGTGAGTGGCATATCTGTCATGATATTAAAAAAAAAAACGTGAAATGTGACGTAGTGTGGAGGAGACCAATAACAGTCCTTATGAGCTAAATGAGCCTATGAGTTTATGAGTGAAATATTATTGAGTCTTTCAAGTACTGTATGTATCATGTCCCCATTGAGGAATATTGTGAGCTCCTTTGGGAGCAGCCGTCTTTAAATTCGTAGGTCAAGTATCTTAATTTATCCCTTTCATACTAATTAGTCTCCTTTCTTAGCTTAAATAGTTTTACCCCTTATTTTGGTTCGCGCCTTCATCCTTAATTATTCTTGTTAATATCTCACTTTGTTATACTATTTATTGCATATCCTCATTTTATTTCTCACTGTACAACTGACGATGGATGATGTCTCATCCGAAACGTGTATTGTTTTCATTAAATAATGAACTTCAAAAACATCGTCTGGTTCATCAAAACAAAAAATAAATAATAATAATAATAATAATTATAATTTCATAATTTATAAATATACGATTTACTATGGTGTATTGTTTCTTGTTAGAAGTGTTTGATTTGGGTCAACGGGTCATATATCTGTTTTCAGAATTGTAGCTCAAACGAGTTAATTATAATTAAAACACAAGCTCTCTGCACTAACTTCATTGGTAACATTTTTATCTCTATTCTTTTTTTTTTTTATTATTATTTTTAATAGTGGATCCACCCTTCAACTGTAAACCAGAGGTACAAAGTTTGCGATGTTAGTGAACAGATCACAAGGGAACCAAAGAACTGGTTACGAACGGACTTCATTGATGTTAGGAATGCTAAACGGCTGGATATTGAAATACATTACATCCTCCTAAACTGCCCTAAAATAGATACTAGTCAGTTCTGCAAAACATACTTAACTCTTTTTTCCCATCATACAAATACCAAGGAACCTCTTCCTGACCCCACTAAAGTGATGTTTCAGAAAGAAGCAGTCATAACGCCGGAAAGTTTGCCTCCTCAGGGAAAAATTAAAACAGACGTATTTTATGGTTCTGTGGTTACCAGAGCTCGGGGTATATATCTGGCATTCTTAGACCAAGGAGCCTGCATAACATTGACGAAAGTTGTCATTAGCTACAGATACTGCCCCGAGATAGGCAGTACCTTAATGACATTCCCAAGGACAGTTGCCCCAGCAAATGACTCCAATCTAACGGAACAAGAAGGAAAATGTGCTGATGTTAACTCGGTTAATAAAATCAAGTTATCAGGTTTGTGTCTCAGTAATGGAGAATGGAACATCGAAGATGACTTGGCCTGCCTTTGTATAGCTGGTTACGAGCTTGTCAACAGAACTATCGCTTCGCTGGAATGTAAAGGTTAGTAACGATTGCTTCGTTTATGTGCTTTTGTCACTCCTAAGTAACTTGTAGTATATACATAGATACTATAAAATGAAAAGTGGGAAAAAGTGCATCGCATGATATGAGATATTATCAAATCAAATCAATGAAGGATTTTCCCCGATAACCTCACTGAAATTTCTGAAAATATGGCTCAAAACTGTGTAGATATGCACTGCACTCAAACAGCTTTGCAATATTCCCAGTTGTAATGCTGCATTATTGATGTTTTGTCCATGCATTATCCAGAATGTCCAAGAGGTTCACATAAGAGTACCATCAGCAATTCAAAATGTCTTCAATGTCCTTCAAACTCAATTTCAAACGCAGAGAGAACAGCATGTACCTGCGATGACGGATTCTACAATTTTAAAACAATTCTGGAAGCTGGCTGTAAAGGTAACGAAAAATGCTTAACTTCTCCTAGCCTACCCTGTTATATGTAACAACACATTTAACAAACAAAAGGTTCATTTTGACAAGATTTTCAATAGTACGACTTAAGGTGGTTTGATACAGTTTTTTTTTTGGACCATACCTAGCATTTTCAATTGGCGTTTTACCAACCAGTTTTTCGAAAAAGATTGAAGTTTGGTTGAATGGTTTTTTTTTTAGGGTAATCGATATTTCCATGGAAACGATAAATCAAAAATATGAAAATTGATAAAGCATGAATTTTGTACGAACCAGATTTGTTATTGAAAATCTGATGCTAATTTCTGAGATTACGATGTATGGCCAGGGAAATATGCAAGAATAAAAACAGATTCTGTATATTTGATTTCGAATAAATCGCGAAAACATTTCAAACCATGCTTTTTGTTCAATGAAATTAAATGGACTGAAAGAAGAGCCCGATTATAATGAAATTACTTCAAAAGACACCAAAATGTGTCTTGAAGTTTTGTTTTGAAGCCATGAAAGTTTTGTTGGTTTGTATTTTCTTGATCTCGAGAACGAGACTTTTTCTCGACGTCAATTCCATAACAAATTTAGAACAATTTTCGATTTTAAGAGCCGCCCTCTGTAAAATTCATCTACGGTCATTTGGACGAGAAAAAAAAATCAAATTCCTCAAACTTTCTCACATGAATGGTCCAGATAAGCGATTCACAAAAATACAACTTTCAGTTCAATTCGATCGGTATTTTAGCGCTGGGGCGACCATCTTGGTTTTGCCCCTCTGAGAGGGCTTTCAGCGGCTATTTTAGGGCACATTTTTAACAGTTTGCCATACCAAGAAAACGGTATAAATCCGGATACATACTTTATTCGAGAAAAGCAAATGTTTCTTGTTACGTTGAGAGGCTGTTTTGGCAATTTGACCAACATCTGATTTTTTTTTACAGAATTTTAAATTTCTTCACTTTCAAACTGCTCATGAAGCGCCATAAAATAGGCGAAATTTAAAGGAAAATATCGCCAAAAGTACATCACTTTGGATCCCAAAACTACCTTCCACTTAAAGAGCAATATGTCTCACCTGTAAAAATATGCAATAAAATTTTGGCGCAGTTGAAACTGTAAAATATTAGAAGAAGAAGTTTAAGCTGTGCTTTTGTCAACAAAGACCGCCGTCCTAATTAGCATAATGACGTCAAAATAACGATGCACAAAGAAAATAATGATATATTCCGCTTACCTCGCGACATGTCGACAACTGGGTGTTCCGCGATACCTCATGTTATATTATTAGTAGGTTTCAGCCGCATTTTCAATGATTAGTGTACGAAATCACTCTGAGACATCGCAACGGTAAAGCAGATTTCAACTCTCCGAAGCCCGCGTCAAATATCTATCAATATTATTTGTCTTTCGTCTCATAAGCCGCCGTTTACAAGAAGTTGAACAATTTGCTGAGATCCTAACTAACCCAAAAGTCTGTTAACAGCCTTTAAAATCTTCCTTTCGGTCGAAGATTCTCATCAAGAACTCGTTTAAGCTCAGTTCTATTTCAGTCTGTTGTGCAATCGCCATTATTCTACAGATTGCGTTACACGAAACAGGTGCACATTCCAATGGGTACGGGCTAGGGTGGGTAGGAAGTGAAAATGTAATAACCGGCTTCAAAGCCATTTTACGCATTTCAGTGGCTAAGCAAGTAACTGGTTTTCCCGTAATGATTTGAATATGAACTTATGCTTGGAAATTTGAGTCATTTTGTAGGTTATGTTGTATGGGGTGAGGGTGGAGGGGGTCGGGCGTGCATTGGAATAAAAATAGAAAACAAAAATCGATAGACAGTATCAGGCTCTTTATCAGGTGTACCAGTTCATCAATGAGGCCTTATTAGGTAGGGGTTTTCAGGATACTGGATATTTGGGTAAAAAAATTGACTGGAAACGCGAAATTTTGGAGAAATAATTAATGGGGGAGTGCATGTTTAGATCAGATAAAACGGGACACTTCTGTCTTTCGCTGCCTGAAATGCCATCAAATTTTGCGAAAGGCGGCAACATACTGACAAAGAGTGCGCAGACAGTAATGGTAAGCGGCGTTTTATTGAAATTCCTTATATTTTCTTAACCATTTCACTTTTGCATCAGAAAAGGAAATGCTCAAAAAATTACTGACGGGCAGTTAAGGACGTGCCTCCCTTTCTGTGGCGCACGGTCTGTGCATCATATAAGGCAAGATTTCAACGCCAGGCGCGCGCTTGGTTTGGAATAATCAACTACGCTACCAAGCGCGCCGAAGCAAATATTGCAGTAAAATTACGAACCTGTACGTGAACCAGAAACTCCAGAAAAGCAGCATATCGCTAAGCACTAACTGTTAAGGGCTTTCAGCTGAAAGACTAGCTGTCATCGTACCCGTAAAAGAAATCATATCCCACTGCAGATGGCATATGCGCGCGCCAAATAACTGCGAGAGACGTCAATGTTTGACTTCCTTGGGAGGTAACAGGAAAAAATGTAACGGGGAACCGACAAAGTTTTCGAAAGGATGAAACAACTTATTTAGTTTTGAAAACGTGTGATTACCGCTACATTTTATGTTATGAAATGGAAGTGGCAAGCCTATTTTACACGTGAATAGTTTTTGGCAGTGAGGAAAAACTATGTAGACTGTATTTTGGCTAAGCCAGAGGAGAGATGTCCAGGGACGCTAAAAGCGCTGTTGTGACGATTGTGTTGTTAAAAACATACCAAAAGTTGTTTTTTGTAGCCATTCACCATGTAGTTTAAGATGTTTATTATATGTGTTTAGTTTTCTGCATGTAAAGGCGAACTCTAGGAAAATCTGTGCAGAAATATCTTTTCCTTTTTTTTTTGAAAAATGTTAACGTCGGCAGTTTTCTTCGAGATTCAAGGCTAATTATCTCGCAAAAATTACTGGCTACCCCCAGTTTTCTTTGTGGATTCCAATAACCCTAGCTAAGATCTGCTTTTTCCACGTTTTCCTAATCTGGCGGAAACACGTTTACATTTAGTAGACACCGTTCTTTATGAGCCTGAGACACCCCTCAGTTGGTCCAGTTCTGTGATGGAGCACAGCTGCATGTCTGCAAAAGACTAGTCTTCTACTTTATGTAGGGCGTTTTACGCGATCTTGGGATGTTGCAAACATCTAGATCAAAATACTCGCATGTCAAGCGAAGCATTTTGACGCTTGTTTAAAACCATTATAAATGCATTAGATGCGTTTAAGGCACACAAATTGAATGAGCCATAAGCAATTGGATAAGTTAACTGACACTTGTAAAGGATATCTGCAGCTTGATTCTCAGCGGGTTGTTGTGTCTTTTTCGAGGACCTCCTCCTGTCTGTCTCCGAGCTTCGCAGCCATTCTGGAGAAGAAGGATTGAACGTGGCGAGAAGTCAGGAACTCATCTAAGGTGAACAGCCTAACTCTGTCCTCATCTTTTGCGTACCTCATCTTTTGTGATAGAGTAACTGCTTCGACTTTATGGCCGTCTCCTGATCTAAGAAGACTTTTCTTGAAAGTAGTTTTTTTTGTTTTTCATTGAAACGAGTGGCCTTTTTCGTCACTTTCAGGGCTCAGCCTTTAGGTTTAATTTCTTTAGCAGGGACTGGAAGTGCAGAACATGCTAGGACCGGGTGAAAACCACGATTGTCGCTATATCATATATTGGCCTGGTCAAATAGGTTTTCTCTATCAGGAACAAGTCAACATGAATCGTATTGTAAATGGTTCTTCAGTAATTATCTTCGCATTTCCTTGTCCGATGCAAAAGTGGAACGGCTTAGAAAATATAAGGAGTTTCAATAAAACGCTGCTTTCCATTACTTCTTGCGCGCTGCTTGTCAGTCTGTTGCTTTCTCAGCATTTGATGGCATTTCGGGCAGCGAAAGACGCAAGTATAATGCTGAACAAAAAAAGCAAGAGACTTTTTTATCGGAATTCTATCCCCATTTTATTTGTTGTCCTATAAAGTTTTGGCCTAAATATCTTGTATCCTTTTAATTGCAGCTTAACTATTTCCTACTCAATTAATGTCCCGTTTTATCTGATCTAAACATGCACTCCCCCATTAATTTTTTCCCTAAATTTCGAGTTTCCTGTCAATTTTTTTTTTGTAACCAAATATCCAGTATCCTGAAAACCCCTACCTAATAAGGCCTCATTGATGAACTGGTACACCTGATAAAGAGCCTGATACTGTCTATCGATTTTTGTTTTCTATTTTTATTCCAATGCACGCCCGACCCCCTCCACCCTCACCCCATACAACATAACCTACAAAATGACTCAAATTTCCAAGCATAAGTTCATATTCAAATCATTACGGGAAAACCAGTTACTTGCTTAGCCACTGAAATGCGTAAAATGGCTTTGAAGCCGGTTATTACATTTTCACTTCCTACCCACCCTA